CCGGAAGTGATTTTTCGTCAAAAAAAGATGGCGGCGCCCAGCTGACGCCGGAACCGGGCCGCGGCGCCCAGCTGACGCCGGAACCGGGCCGCGGCGTCGAAAAGGTTGGGGATCCCTGCTGTAATGGGTTACAGTCATATAAATATGTATCTACCTTAAAATGTAAATAAATGAAAATCAAAGATTAAAGTCTAATTTTTTTAAAAAATATTTTTTCCACTGAAACCCTGCCATTGTTAAGCAAATCAAACAGCTCCTTTAAGTGAATCACAAGGTCGTTCAGCAAATCTTTCTTCCATCACGTAAATTGCATGTCAGTCATTGTCTGGAAAGACCATAAATGGAGATCATTGTAAACACATGCTAGTTGCCAAGCACCTGAATTTTGATCACGTGACCAATGGGGAGGATGCAAGATTGTTAAGTGCAAGCATTAATCATAATTCACTTTTTTCAGTGCTGTTGTAACTTTGAATGGTCTCTAAATGAATGATTATAAGTTGAAGACTACTTGTAGTTTACTCTAGTTCTCCAAAAGAACAGAAAATGAGATATTTAAAGACACTAAAATATAGTAGCAGTAAAAAGTTTGGATTTCTGAATGGCAATACAGTCAAGGCGGTAGGAAAAACATTGAGCTGAAATGAAATAAAGCCTGTGGAAGTTTACTGTCTTGTAATGTTCAGCATTTCCAACTTCAGTAATGGCAAGGGCCTAATGCACACACTTTCTAAAATTTCTCACAAAATCCCTTTACCTTTATTAGCTGCTCAGCCAGCAAGTTTCAAGAATGACCATTTCCCATGGTCAGAATTAGAGCCACAACTGTTCAAGGGCAAAATTCCCACCAGGAAAAAGATGATGGCAATTTTCACAGGGCAAAGGATCCTTACAAAGAATTCCACAGCTTCACAATGTGGGAATTTGGGAGCCTAACAGATGTCTGCCTCTCCGTGGCCAAAGTTTGAAAGTCAGCAAATCCCAAATCTGAAAAGCAATTTGGTTCCAAATGAACTTACAATGTCTGGGAGCTTCCACAGCATTTTAAAAACCATGGTTTGTTAAATTTTTGAATAAATCACAGCTGACTCATGCAAGATGCGAAGCCAGAATCAAACCAATCCTATTAAGGTTTCATGTGTTTGTAAATCACATCTGCAGAATCAGATGTGAAAAAGAAACACTCTGTAAACGCTCCAGTATTTCCAAACCTTGGCAGTACTGAAAAAACAGATCCATATGCTGCATGAATCTGTTTATGATCCTCTGGATAATGAGAAAGAGGATCAAAAAGATCTGCAAATCTGATAACATATTACTGCACTCAGGACCCCCAATTTCCCACAATTTATGACCGAATTACAGGGAGAGAAAGAGGAAGGAAACTGATGTTAGGGATCAATGATTTCCTGTCTGAAAGTGGTCTGTAACTTGAAACTCCAAGGAGATGAGTCAATTTGATCTTCCTTGAAAGAGGAAAAAAATACTATAAAAGACACACGGATAACAAATCTGTGAATCCCATTTACTCTTTATTATAATCCTCCCAGGTGAGTTTTATTTATCTCCCAAGCTTTGTCTTTCCATACCTCTCTTAATCCCAGGCATCAATTTCTTTCCCCAACTCATGATCTGCCCACTCTGCCTTATAATAATTGCCCCCCCAAATTCTAATAATCTCCCTAAAAATATTATTGTTCCCCTTTCTTCACATTCATCCTCCCCCACCACCACCACCGTCTTTGGGCAGGAGAAATGGGAAGATATTATTCTCAACGACCCAACTATTTATGCTAACTCTCTGGACCCTTCCCCACTTTTCCTGCTTTCTTGAGGGTGTCTGTACTCACCAGCCCCTTGATCATGTCTCGGGAACTGGACCTTAGGACCCTAGATGGCCCTGCCTTGGTCTGAGGGACGTGCCAGAGTGATGCCAGGAACATAAGCAGCAGCAGCATCTTGGCAGTGATGTCTCCAGGCACAGTCGAGATCCTATATAGTCTCTCTCTCTCCTCTCCCCCTCCTTATCTCCCCTCCCCTTCTTCCTGTCTCTTTCTTCTCTCCGCCCTGCTAGTCAAATTAAGGAGGTGGGGGGGGGAGATGGGAAGGAGAGCCCCCAGATTTTCTAGAGAATGGGTTGCAATGGAAAAAGCAAGTGTTGATAGGGATACAGAATTTAAAGAGTTGGTAAGGTGAATAGAAGCTGGTTGGTAGATTAATTGCCTGTTTATAGGGCAGAACAAGATAAATACCTGTCACAATACCTGTCACAAAGCTGGAAAGGAAGATAGAGAGAAATTTGATAAGGCTCAAATCAGGATGAGTCCAGTAGTTGCACCTTTTCAGACAACAATAAAAAGGCCATATTTTCTATATTTTCACTAGATTTTCACAACATTTACTGATCTAAGATGCTGCCAGACTACTCTGGATATTTGGCTACCGTAGACTAATTTGGTTTTCCACCTACAGGTTTTGTTAACATTTAAAATTTCTTATCAGGGACTCCACAGCGGTCTTAACACTGAGTCAAAAGAAATGCTGGATGTGAAACAGAAGCCTGCCAGCCAGACGGGATTCTAGCTTCTGCAGCCTGGGTGTGGGAGGAACGGAGGAAGGAAGCATTTCACCCATGGGGGCTGGTAAACCAATTTACAAAAACTGAATCTCCTTCCCAATCATTGCCCCTCCTCTCCATCAGCCTTGTCTCATACATTTCACTAAGCCTTATTCTGGATGCTAAAAAGGCTTTTTATATTGTTCAAGCTACATTTTTGGAGCATGTTTTCAAATTCGTAGATTTTTACTACAGGGTTTGTTCATCTAAAGCAGTGTTTCTCAGCCTTGACAACTTGAAGACTGGTGGACTTGAACTCCCAGAATTCCCCGCCAGCATGGAGTATGCCTTGACACTCTACAACAGGAGAGGTATAAGAAACTTCAGTTCCATGAACGTGTAGATTAAAAAAAAAAAGTTGGTTGCAAATGGAAAATTTAACAAATTAAAGCCACAGTCTAGCCCTGTTGGCTAAAATGAATTGTAGTTTGCCCAGAGTGAATTGAAGGGACTTATCCAGACACAAAAACTTTTTCAATAATATGCCAAAATCTAAAACTAAATAAAGATGGATAATCTAATCTAATCTGAACTAAATTGAAGATAAATGGACTTCAACTCCCATAATTCCCTTCCAGCAAGTCTGACTCGGGAATTCAGGGAGTTGAAGTCCCATCTATCTTCAAGTTGCCAAGGTTGACAAACACTGAGTAGAATGAGTCCAGAGAGATCTCTTTCTCCATCATGGCACCCAAAGCAGTTTTGGGAACTTTAGCTGTTTTAAATTAGATATTCTCAATATATTATGGACATTGTAGCATTGAATATAGATTTTTATTAGATGCTGATGACATTTTGATTATTCTGGAGAATTATTTAATGTCCCTACCAAAGCTTGTAGGAGCTATGTAGCAATATAGTTTATATTCATGCTACTCTATTAAAAATAGTATAAAAATGTTGGAGGAAAATTAGTTTGTTCCTTTAGGATCAAAAATTTTGCAATAGGTTACTATTAGAATATGCTCTTTATAATATACCAGAATTGAATACATTATTTAAGAGATTATTTCCCAAAATATATCTCAATATGTTGAATTTAATATATCTAGATATATAGATAGGCTTACTTTGGATGTTAAAAAGTGGTTAAATTATCAATATTAATTTCTACTACATATCATATCATAATCTCCTTCTTGATAAAATTCCAAGTAGATATTTTAGGATTTAGTTTTATTATATTTAGTTTATGTTAGATTTTGGCACAATATTGAGAAAGTTTTTGTGTCAGGATAAGTCCTTTCAATTCACTCTGGCCAACTTTCAATTCATTGTATCCAAATAGACAGTGGCTTTAGTTTGCTCCATTTTCCACTTTATAACCAATTTTTCTTTTAAAGTTTACATCTTTGTGGAATGGAAATTTCTGAATTATTCCTTTCTTGTGTAGAGTGTCAATGGGTGCTCCTTTGAACACTTCACAAGTACTTGGAACAACTTATAATCCCCAGAGGCTGATCTTTGCAGCTTTGAAAGCTGCTAGATGCAATTATGCCTTAATTAATTGGAAAGCTATTAAATTCTGATCTGAAATTCCATGAAAACCCTCATGAGAAGGATGGAAGCAGCATTGTCGAATAGGCTCCATCCCTTTTTGGCATGTGGCTGTTGCTTTTACCAATCTGTCACTCCTGCTGCAATGACATTGTAGACTAATCCTAATTTAAAGATGGGGGAGATGTTTCATTGAAAGTCAGAAATTAAGATCTGGAAGGACTGATTATTATTATCAGCCTTTTCAGAGGCTAGGTTCTGAATGCACCCTATACCATTAACTTGCTTCCCAGTACAGGTATTCCACATTTTACGACCACAACTGAGTGCAAAATTTAGGTTGTTAAGTGAGAATTTGTAAAGTGAATTTTGTTCCAAATTACGATATTTCTTACCACAGTTGTTAAGTTAATCACTGCAGTTGATAAGTTAGTAACATGGTTGTTAAGTGAACCTGGCTTCCCCAATGACTTTGCTTGTCAGAAGGTTGCCAAAAGTGACCAAATGAGTCCTAGGATGCTGCAACAGTCATAAGTATGAAACAGTTGCCAAGCATCTGAATGTTGATTACATGATCATGGGGATCCTGCAAAGGTTGTAACTGTGAAAAACGGTCATAAGTCACTTTTTTCAGTACTGTTATAGCTTTGAACAGTCATTAAATGAACTGTTGTAAGTTGAGGACTACCTGTGTAATACAATTAAAACATGTAAATATGGCCACAAAATATGACTCAGATACTTTAGCGGTTTTAAAGGTATATGGAAGATCTGGATGTTTAAGAGATGGAGTTGAAATAAAATAAACAATTTCATTGTATTTGAAATTAAAAAGATGAAAGTTAATATGGATAATATATGTGATACATGGAATCATGAATTTGAATGTCCAATTTTGGAAAGTCAGTAGGCCCAAGGTTTTAAGAAACATAAAATATATTTAGGATTGGAGTGAATTCACTAGAAGAACTATACAGAGTCACTATCACTGTATGTGTTTTACTTTCCTCTGATTGTACTACCACTGTTTATAAGGTTCCTCAAACAATGGTTTAAATAAGATGAGAATCAAGGTTTTTTTGTGGGTTGATATAAGAAAGTTGAGGTCTCTGACTCAGATGATGTAGTTATGTTCCTTTATGGATCCCTTTTGGATTCAAATCATTATTTATATTAGAATAGCCTTTAGGAAAAACAGATAACATATAATTGTGAATTTTTCAAAGAAAACTATAAAGGTACAAAACAATCAATGCTCCAAATATTAAAAAGTAGATCCAAGAAGCGAAGAAGTTTCCTACCTATAATTGAAATGCATTTATGTTGTAAAAATGAAAAGATGGAGAAATAAGTTTCCTAATAGTTAGTACATATTATGTTAAAGAATTTGGCTAGTTCTAAAAATGAGAAGATGGAGAAATAAGTTTCCTAATAGTTAGTACATATTATGTTAAAGAATTTGGCTAGTTCTAAAAATGAGAAGATGGAGAAATAAGTTTCCTAATAGCATAGATTTAACATTATGTTTAAAAAATTGGCTACTTCTATATTAATACCATATCAATCTTTCCCACCCATCCCTTTTTGAATTTATTTTAACCAGTATTAGTTTGTTTATTTCATTTTCCTCTGATTGTCCTACCACTGTTGTATTTTTTGTCTTTCTTTGTAAAATTTTACCAAATAAACATGCTTTTAAAAAAATGCTTTCACATTTGGGATTTAGCTTAGGGTATTATGCCCAACCAAGTTTTGTTTACTTTGTAGACCATTTAACTTTGCTTTCCTTTTGTGGGTGGGTGGGGTGGATGCATCAACACAACTCCTGTTTACCCACATTCCTTCAAACCTCTCTATTTAATTTCCGGCTTCACACCTGGCTACCTCCTGATGAAGCTGAAGGTGAAGGGTGAGAGACTGAAGCCATGCTCTCCCAGGATGGAAAATGGTTGGGGGGAAGGGAGATGAAAGCTGCAGGAAAGGCATCTTTAGAGAAGAGAAGAGAAGAGAAGAGAAGAGAAGAGAAGAGAAGAGAAGAGAAGAGAAGAGAAGAGAAGAGAAGAGAAGAGAAGAGAAGAGAAGAATTCTTTATTGGCCAAGTGTGATTGGACACACATGGAATTTGTCTTGATGCAAATGCTCTCAGTACATAAAAGAATAAAAGAAAAGATACATTCGTCAAGAATCATAAGTACGTACATTGATTCTTTATTGATTTAGTCCTCAACTTACAACAGTTCTTTTTTTTTTTAAGCAAATTTTATTAATTTCAAAGACAAACAAATCAT